AAGAAAATTATGGCTTAACACAGAAAATCTCATAAGAAATGAACTATGTCTGAAAACCTGTCCTGTACAGATTAACTGCTGTATAGAATTCCTAAAAACCAATCTGAATGTTTTAAAACCTTGCCACTTTTGATTGCAAAATAATTTCAGATTATTAGACACTCAAAAAGTTATTTCTAGCCGAAACCGGTTTGGCTCAGTGGTAGAGCATCGGTCTGCGGACTGAAGGGTCCCGGGTTCGATTCAGGTCAAGGGCATGTACATTTGTTGCGGGCATATCCCCAGTAGGGGGTGTGCAAGAGGCAACTGGTCGATGTTTATCTCATCGACGTTTCTAGCTCTCTATCCCTCTCCCTTCCTCTCTGTAAAAAATCAATAAAATATATATATTTTAAAAAAGTTAATTCTAAATATGATCCCTAATGTTTTCTTTTCTATAGGACTATAAGACCTACCTGGACTTCGTTCTTGCATTAGAAAACCGAAAAGAACCTGCAGCTCTGCAGTATATTTTCAAATTGCTTGATATCGAGAACAAAGGATATCTGAATGTCTTTTCTCTTAATTACTTCTTTAGGGTAAGTCTCATTCATGTATATGAGTCATTGTTCCTTAACATATATGTTACATATACCATTTGGTTTAAAATACCATGTGTGCCAAACTGGTTTGGCTCAGTGGATAGAGCGTCTGCCTACGGACTGAAAGGTCCCAGGTTCAATTCCAGTCAAGGGCATGTACATTGGTTGCAGGCACATCCCTGGTAGGGGGTATGCAAGAGGCAGCTGGCCGATGTTTCTCTCTCATCGATGTTTCTAGCTCTCTCTCTCTCTCCCTTCCTCTCTGTGAAAAATCAATAAAGTATACTTAAAAATAAAAATAAAATAAAATACCACGTGCCCTGACTGGTGTGGCTCAGTTGGGCATCCTCCCGTGCACTGAAGGGTTACTGGTTCAATTCCTGGTCAGGCACATGGTTCAACTCCTGTTGCTGGCACATTCCTGGTCAGGGTTGCAGGACTTGACCCCTGATAAAGGGAGGCAACCAGTTGATGCAGGAGGCAGCCAATTGATGTTTTGCTCTCACATCAGTGTTTCTTTTTCTCCCTCTTTCTAAAAATAAAAAATGTTTTTTTAAAAAATGTTTAAGCTTCACATTTTCTAGTGAGTGACTCAGCTAAAATGTTTCTCAAGCCCTAACTGTTTTGGCTCAGTGGATAAAGCGTTGGCCTGGGGACTAAACGGTCCCAGGTTCGATTCCTGGTTGCGGAAACATACCCAGGGTGTGTACAGGCGGCAGACAATCTATGTTTCTCTCTCATTGATGTTTCTAACTCTTTATCCCTCTCCTTTCCTCTCTGTAAAAAATTAATAAAATATATTAAAAAGTAAAATGTTTGTCAAATTGGATCACAGTAGTTAACCCTTGAATAACAGTTTTGAACTGCATGTGTGTGTATCCACCTATATGCAGATTTTTTCAATGATACATTGAAAAAATGAGATTTCTCACTACAGTGAAGAAGTCTTATCAGTTACACTTAAGCTACCATAAAGCAATCGTGTTGCTATGTTTTCCATACATGAATCATCATACCTGAAAATTTTCATTTTCAGTTCTTTTCACTTTTGATATCTAATTGTAGTTGTCAAGTACAGGGAAAAATGTAGGGTGGGAGTGGAGGTGGTGGATTGGGTATCTTAAAAGAATAGGGAAGGTATGAGCAGCATCCGTGGGTCATGGGAGGTCACATGGAATGATTGCTAGGCCACATGGAAGGCTCATCTAAGGTTGGAGAATATTCCTGTGTTGTAGCAATAATCTGTAGTTTTGTATACTTCCTTTCTGAAGCTCTCAATAGCTAAAGTAGGGGTGTCGAACTCAATCAGAGAAGGGGCCAAAATCTAAAATCCAGCCTAAATCGCGGGCCGAATGGTTTACTGAACAGTCATAAACTGTCATTGTGATGGAAACGCAGCGGAGTGCAGTGATGACAGCGCGGTGCGGGCCACATTGCAAGGCCTGGCGGGACGGATTTGGCCCGCGGGCCTTGTGTTTAACACATGTGAGCTAAAGTGTAGGTCTAGAAAGGTTGATGGTTACACTGACCCAATATTTAGGTTTTGCTGAATACTTGATATGCAATGTCAAGAATGTTGGGAATATTGGCAAGAATGGTTTGATAGGAAAGTAATTGGAACTAGAAAGAGACCATGGATTTTTTTGGGGGGGGCAAAGGGGGCTATTCTGTATTTCATTTTTTATTTACAGATTTATTTCTGCTCAATACAGGCCATACAGGAACTAATGAAAATCCATGGACAAGATCCTGTTTCATTTCAAGATGTGAAGGTTACTTTTTTCCTTTAATTTACATAATGCCAGCTAACCATTTGTATTAAATTAAATTTTATATGAAAGTAACTTAAGAATTATAAAATACTGGACCAAATCAAGTTTTTGCTCTTATTTGTTCCAATGATATTTAGTCATTAGAAACTGAGACCACAGTTTGACTAATGGTTTTTGTAGTCTGATTTTAGCATTTTCACCCTTGTGTTCTCATTGACAGCTTTCATTCATTTTGATTGAAAATTAAAAGAGAATCAATATGACCTGCATCCTTTGGCAAACTATTCCACTGGAAACTGAATTTTTAACTTGGGAACTGTTTAGGTCAGGCACATTTTTAGTCTGATACTTTAAAGGGCTTGCTTTGGTATTACTTAGGAAGACATCAGTCCTACACTATGAAAACTACCACTGAAACATATGCTGCTACTTAGCACTTTAGTATTGAGACTTTCTCTAGCTATGAAAAACAAGGAGTATCCAGTATTGATTCAGGTTCAAACTGAATAATGTAATAACTCATTCAGGTTTAAAAAAGTATAAGATAAAGAGTTGTTTTGGTTTAATACAAATGAGACACATTTTAAACTGTGCAACAGGCAACTTAAGAACTAGTTAAGCACTACCTAGTTTGGCTCGGTCGGCCTGCGACGGAATAGTCACAGGTCCGACTTGGGCCAAGGGCGCGTGCTGGGGTTGCGGCTCGATCTCCAGTGGGGGGCGTGCAGGAGGCAGCCAAACAGTTCTTTCTCATCACTGATGTTTCTCTCCCCTCTCCCTTCCTCTTGAAATCAATAAAATAAATAAATCAATAGAACTAGTTAATTTTAGCTGAAACCGGTTTGGCTCAAGTGTCGGCTTGGGGACTCAGAGGTCCTGGGTTCGATTCCCGTCAAGGGCATGTACCTTGGTTGCAGGCATATCCCCAGTAGGGGGTGTGCATGAGGCAGCTGATCGATGACTTTCTCTCATCGATGTTTCTAACTCTCTCTCCCCCTTCCTCTCTGTACAAAATCAATAAAATATATATATTTTTTAAAATAGTTAATTTTAAATGGCCACCAACCTTGGAAGAGGAAGTTTCAAAAACACAAAAGTTTCTTTCTTTTACCTACATTGTTCTAAACTCTGGAAAATGTAATTTTTCTCCTTTAATGACACTAAATACTGAGTAATTTTATTACAAAAAGATTAAGAAACACGTACGAATTCTTTGTAAGTATTCATTTAGAAGAGGTTCTTCCAAATATTCCAGTAAATTTTAACACAATTTAATGTTATTCTAGATGACTAATTCTTTGATACCAACCCCCCACCCAGAGTGTAAAAGGTTGACATCAATATTGGAAATGAAATTTTGTCATAATCTTGGGCTCTGAAGACTTTAAGTTTGAGCTGAGTTTGCACTTAAATTGAAGGGTTTGCTTCATCACTAACTAAAGTACAAGTAGTTAGTTAACATGTACTCAAAGAACACTGCATTAAATATTGTAGTTTAGTTATTAATTACCTATGTAGTTTGTATTAGCTTAAACTCTGAGCCTCATTTTCTTCCTCATTGATAAGACAGTTATCACATAACTAAGGAATATTCCAGTAAAATTCTGTGAATACATAGAAAAAGAGACTGCTTATCTGTTGAATCATTTTTTCTTTACAAAAATGTTATGTAAGCTTAAGTGCTGAATTTTAGGTCACTGTGTGATAAAAATTAAGTGAATCATATATCAGATTCCATTGTGTTTTTCTTCTTTCTTGCAGGATGAAATCTTTGACATGGTAAAGCCAAAGGATCCTTTGAAAATCTCGCTTCAGGATTTAATCAACAGTAATCAAGGAGACACAGTCACCACCATTCTCATCGATCTGAATGGCTTCTGGACTTATGAGAACAGAGAAGCCCTTGTTGCAAATGACAATGAGAACTCTGCAGACCTTGATGATACATGATCTCAAAAACTAGACTGTATTCATTACCATAAGCTTGAGTGCTACATGAAACCTTTGAAGCAGAATCCTTAGAAATGGTCTAAATAAAAACTTCAAATGCCTATAGAACACAGAAAATGTTCGCATTATTGGAATAGTTTGGAAGCAATAGGACCAAATTAGGAAGCAATAAATTCTGTTTCCACTTAGCTTAAATATGACAAATGTGATTTGCTGAAAGCGGTCCACTTTAAATCTGTGTAATATTTAGGACTACTTCTGACATTAGTCATTAAGAATTTGAATACCTGAAAGGTAGTTTAAATTATGTGATCATTTAATCTTGAATATTCTCCTAAAGTATTATATCTATCAAAGATTACAGACTTCCCCACTCATTTCATTTCTGGATTAGAAGTATTTACTAGTAGATAAGATGTTTCTTTTTGTAGGATATTTCAATAAAAAAGTATTGAAGTTAATATTTTACTTTAAAATCATTGGTATAAAAAATCTGTCTAGTTTTATTAACTAGTACCAGGGTTACCTTTTATAAAACCAGTTTGTTAGGATTATTGTGAACTCACTGTAAAGGTTCTCAATTACATTATGTCTAGTTTTATGAGATAAAAGAATATCACGAACTATGATCCACAAGGAACAGTAAATATTAAAAGGAAGAAAAACAAAGGCTTAAAAATAAGACAAAACCATTTAATGCATTTATGGGAAATTTTATAGTTTGCATAAATAAAAATATAAAAATTTAAGGCACAGTGTATAACTATGTAAACATTACAAACTGGCCACAGTTAGACAAAGAAAATAAAATTCAAGAAGCATAAAATCTTCATAGGTCATTATCTTCCTTCTACTATAATCAGAAAAGTTTCTAGTTTTTGTTAGATATATTACCTCCAACGAGAGAAGATTCAGATCACCTTCACTGGATAACCAAATATCAGAGTTGGAAATACTAACTCAAAAACAAATTGGAGGGAAGGTGTCAGGTTAGCATGTTTTAGAACTATTGGTAAACTATAACTTATGGTTACATTAATTATATAATCTGATAACTAATCTTTTAAGTACTAAATTATCTGGTATAGACCCATTACTAAAAAGATTCCTATCATATGCCATGAGCCACCACACCATAAATCCATAAAAACATTTAAAAAAGGAAACCTATCTTATTTAATGTTATAGACTCAATCACCTTTCCATAAAATAAACTTAAGGAAAGAAAATTCAAAGTGCTTTTATCTTGCTCCTTTTTATTACTCAGTGAACCTTCTTTAGTATGAAGTTAATGGTTAGATTTATAAATAAGACATGAAAAAATCAGAGAAATTCCTCATTTTCATCTGAGATTAGGAATATCAACTCTTATTAGCCTTAATCAGTAACTTAACCAATTTTTTTTTCATTCACAAATAACAGACAAGCATGATAACTCTTAATTGGCAATTAGGGCTCTAAAATGTCATTGACATTTTTATAAAGATCATTTTAAAACCAAAGCACTAATTTGACACACAGTAAAAGCATAATACAAATAACCAAATTTCAGATCTGACTTTTGCTAGATAGAGCTTAAGAATAAAGCAAACAGTTTTCCCTTTATAGATAATTTAAAATATAAATAACTGTATTAAATCCCACTGAATAGAGAATGTGAAAGTTCCTGGTATAAAAACCACCTTAGTGTTTGAAGTTTGAGTCATTGCATTCTATGGTGGGACAGAGACTGGATTTTGTTTGCTTTCTGTAAATACTTCACATTCTCCCTCCATTTCAAAATTGAGATTCACAAATGAACTGGACACCACTGTTTCTGGTTGATCTGTCTGAACAATGGAATCAGCCTGCAGCTTATTCTGTTGGTAGTGTCTTTCTGCTTCTTCAGACATCCTGTTTTCTTCCTCCTCCTCCTCCTCCTAAAGAGAAAATATCAAGAATCGTTAAAATATATCCAAAAGGAATAGTATTTGTTCCCAATTTTAGCTTGTTTTTCTCTTTAAAAAAGTATATTTTATTGACTTTTTTCACAGAGAGGAAGGGAGAGGGATAGAGAGTTAGAAACATCAATGAGAGAGAAACATTGATTAGTTGCCTCTTGCACACCCCCTATTGGGGATGTGTCGGCAACCAAGGTACATGCCCTTGACAGGAATCCAACCTGTGTCCTTTCAGTCTGCAAGCTGATGCTTATCCACTGAGCCAAACCGATTTGGGCTGTTTTTCTTCTCTTTTAACCAAAACAGTATCATGTACAATTCACTTTGGTCTACTTAAGACATATTTCCTTCCCTTTCATTCCCAAATTCAAAAACTATTACATGACATTTTAGAAAAGTGGTGTCATTTTTAAAAATACATCTTTATTATTGAAAGTATTAACAGATGTCCCCATTTTTCCACCACTGACTCCCTCCACCCCGCTCACAGCCCCTCCTCAGCCCTTCATGGCACTATTGTCTGTGTCCACAGATTATGCATATTTTATCTAATAAAAGAGTAATATGCAAATTGACCATACCTCCACTATACCACAAGCCACACCAACCAACCACACCCATCAGCCAATCAGAGCTAGTATGCAAATTAACCTGAACCAAGATAGTTACGGCCAGAGAGAGCAGGAGGGAGGCTTGGGTTTCCCAGGTCATGGAAGAAGCCAAGCTTTCCGCCTGCCCGAGCCGGCCTAAGCCTCCACTCAAGGCTACAAAGTTTCAATTATAGAAGGTAAACAAATCCAAACAAATGGCGGGAGCAACAGAGCAAGCAGAAGGCGTGGCTCCACTCCAGACTACAAAGTTTCAATTATAGAAGGTAAACAAATCCAAACAAATGGCGGGAGCAACAGAGCAAGCAGAAGGCGTGGCTCCACTCCAGGCTACAAAGTTTCAATTGTAGAAGGCAAATTCCAGATACCAGGGCCTTGCTTGGGTCGATGGGGGGCGTGGCCGACCTGCAAACCACCATAGGCCCCTCACCCAGGCCACCCCACATCCCAAGGGAACCCCTCCCTGATCCAGGACACCCTTCAGGGCAAACCAGCTGGCCCCCACCCATGCACCAGGCCTCTATCCTACCTAATAAAAGAGTAAGATGCGCTGAAACTGGTTTGGCTCAGTGGATAGAGCATTGGCTTACAGACTGAAAGGTCTCAGGTTCAATTCCAGTCAAGGGCATGTACCTTGGTTGCTGGCACATCCCCAGTAGGGAGTGTGCAAGAGGCAGCTGATCAATGTTTCTAACTCTCTATCCCTCTCTCTTCCTATCTGTAAAAACTCAATAAAATATATTATCTTTTAAAAAGAGTAATATGCAGATTGACCATCACTCCAATATACAAGATGGCTGCCCCCATGTGGTCAAAGATCCTGCCCACGTGTGGACACAAGATGGCCAGCAGGGGAGGGCAGTTAGGAGGGACCAGCCCTGCAAGGGAGGGCAGTTGAGGGTGATCAACCCTGCAGGGGAGGTCAATTAGGAATCATCAGGCCAGCAGAAGAGGGAAGTTGGAGGCAAACAGGCTGGCATGGGAGCAGTTAGTCATCAATCAGGGTGGCATGGGAGTGGTTAGGGGGTGATCAGGCTGGCAGACAGAAGTGGTTAGGGGCAATCAAGAAGGCAGACAGGCGAGCAGTTAGGAGCCAGCAGTCCTGGATTGTGAGAGAGATGTCTGGATTGGGCCTAAACAGGCAGTTGGACATCCCTTGAGGGGTCCCAGATTGGAGAAAGTGCAGGCTGGGCTGAGGGACACCACCACCCTCCTCCACCCCATGCACAAATTTCATGCACCGGGCCTGTAGTATACATATAATTATTTAACCTCTTCCTGCCCTCCCCTTTCCCTCTTAGATGAGACCTGAACTACGTTGAAAGGGGTTTTATCTTTTCAGATTAAGTCTAATCTAAAACTATAGCTAATACTATTATCACTTCGATTATAGGGTATCAGCCTGTTCATTGGAACAGGGTGGTCTAGCCACTAAATTGACATAGCATGGTTAGTGTTCCCATAAGCACCTGGTAACAAATAAGGCAGTCTCTGTCCTCAAAAAGTTTACAATCTAAGAGGGAAGTTAAGACACGTAATAACAGCATTAAGAGAGAAAGGAATAACTAGAGATTTAGAAATAATAACTTACAGAACTACTACCATATTTTCCGGTGTATAAGACGACCCCCTAATTTTACAGTTAAAACATAGGCTTAGGCCTATATTCGCTGTATAAGACTACCCCCCACTTCCGAGGCAACACCAGTTCTTTTTCTAATAGACTGCCTCTCTGACTCTGGCCAATCTGAGCAGGCTTTTTTTCGTTTCAAAAGTCGTCTGATACGAAAATACGTTAAGTTCATGGAAGAGGTGGCATGTGTACTGGTCCCTGCAGTATGGGTACAGAATGACTAACCTGTTAAGAAGATTAATCTAGAGCTTGCTTGAGAATGAATGAGAAAGGCCACTTAGAGAGGCTATACTCCCCATGAGGTAATGAGGTTCTAAACAAGTCGTTCATCAAATATTTTTGAAACCAAATAAATATAAAGTCAGTTGCGCTTTCCAGATTCATCTCCAGCCATTCTGTTTTACTCTATGCTCCAGTGACAATAAAGTAGTATTCTTGCCATTTCCCCAAACATTCAATTTCATTTCTCTACATTCTATGTTTATCTAAATTGCCCTCAAGTGCTTGAAGGAGAATAGTAAGAGATACTAATATTTATTTTATTTTCACTAATATATACTAGGTGCTGTTCTATTTTACATATTAATTCATTTAATCCTTAGAGCAACCCTAGCATGGATGCTGCAATTTTCATTATAAAGATGAGTAAACGGAAGCTTATAAAGGTTAAGTATTTTGCACAAGGTAACAAAGTTAGAAGTGGCAGAGCCAGAATTTGAATTCAGACTCTTTGGTTCTTGGGCCCATGCTCTTGAATGCTAAAGCTTTCTCATTGTTTAAGGCTAAACTCATTTCACTCCCCACTCTAAGACCTCACTATAGACAGACTTGCTTCACATCTCTGTGCCTTCACTACTGGCACTTACACATTTCTAGTAACTGTAATTTTCTGTGCATCAAACTCACTCCAGTTCTGCATGCAGTCCATGCATCCTAAGGAGAGAGATTGGGTCTTGTTTCCTTAGCTTAATATTGGAAGATAATAATCCAGAAAGAGGTATGTGAAGATTAATAACATGCATAGCACCTAGCACAGTGAATCTAGCTCAATTTTACAAACAGATCCCAGGAAACTTTCAGTATTAAAAAATTCCAAAATGTATGCTAATTTGATTTTTTTTAAATGCCTCGGAAATGAAATGCCTAGCACATAAGGGAGTTGCCTTTTGGGTACCTAGAGAATACATGAGTTCAATACATAACCCATCAAGTCCGTAGCAAACAAAACCTAATCAAGAAAATGTAAAAGAGAGACACACCTCCTTCTTCATCCGGTAATACTCATCAATGGCATACTGGTATTTTGGGGTACTGATGCCCAAAACAGATGCAATCTTCTCTCCAAGAAAGTCACACACTAAAGATACAAAAGTTAAATAGCTTACAATAATTCATAGCATTTCTTTTTTTAAAAAATTATTTTTATAAACATTTCTTGAGCACTTTCTATGTGTAAAGCACTGTAGAAATACGAAAGTTATAGTTCCCGCCCTCAGAGATTATGAAGACTCAATATCTCTTCCGTATATAATTCCTTGATTTCCTCAAGAAGCATCTATGGCTTTTTATGGGCACCTGTTAACACTGCCAGTAATACTTACCACCAAGTATTATAATTATTTGTTCCATGTCTATTTCTTTCTTTTTTTTAATGCATATCCTTAGAGAGCTAGCATGCCAATGGGCTGAAGAAGAGGAATGGCTTGTACCATACATACCAGGCACTGTAAGGTTAGACTCAGAGAGGCTGAAGAACTTGCCAAGCTGACAAAACAAATCCAAAATTCTATCAGGACTGAATATAAAACTAATGCTGTTTTCATTTCACCAGACTGTCCAGCATATACGGAATACTCAGTAAATTTAAAAAATATATATCTTATTGATTTTTCACAGAGGGGAAGAGAGAGGGATAGAGAGTTAGAAACATTGATGATAGAGAAACATTGACCAGCTGCCTCCTGCACACCCTCCACTGGGGATGTGCCCACAACCAAGTACATGCCCTTGTCCAGAATTGAACCTGGGACCCTTGAGTCCACAGCCCAACGCTCTATCCACTGAGCCAAACCAGTCAGGGCAATGCTCAGTAAATGTTTGTTGAATTAATTACTATTCAAAATTAGATATAATAAAAAGGCACAAAGTGATAGAAGCTATGAAGCAAGAGAAAGCTTTATGATTTAAAACCTATATTTAAAGTTTGCATGATTGAGTCATAAGCTGATTATTTATTTCAAATATGATTTAGTTGTATCTAAATCTAAATATATAAAAGCATAAGCAACCAGCTGACCAGCCAACCGGCCGGTAGCTATGATGCACACTGACCACCAGGGGGGCAGATGCTTGATCTAGGAGGGGAAACCACAGGCGTGGAAACATGGAACAAATGATAAATCTCAGAGGGAAGAAGGGTTTCAAGGGAGGGCTGGAAGAGATTAGCCAAAGATCTTATATGCATACTAGAAGCCTGGTGCATGGATTGGGGTCCCTCGGCCTGGCCTGTGGGGATCAGGCCGAAACTGGCTCTCTGACATCCCCCAAGGGGTCCCGGATTGTAAGAGGGTGCAGGCCAGGTCGACGGATCCCAATGAAGCACAAATCCGTGCACAATGCCTCTAAGTCTATAAGAAATAAAATACTAGCCTAGCAGTTTGGTTCAGTAAATAGAGCATTGGCCTCCATAATGAAGGCTCACGGGTTTAATTCCAGTCAAGGGCAAATACCCAGATTGTGGGCTCAGTTCAGTAGGGGGTATTGCAGGAAGCAGCCAATCAATGATTCTCTCTCATCACTAATGTTTCTCTCTCTCTCTCTCTCTCCCTCCCTCTCTCTCTCTCTCTCTCTCTCTCTCTCTCCCTCTCCCTCCCTCCCTCCCTCCCTCCCTCCCTCTCCCTTCCTCTCTGAAATGAATACAAATATATTTTTAAAAAGAAAATAAAACATTGCCCAGGCCTGGTAGCTCAGTTGGTTAGAGCATCATCTAGATACACCAAGACTGTGGGTTCCATCCCCAGTCAGGACACATATAAGAATCAACCAGTAAGTGCATAAATAAATGTAACAGCAATATCTCTCTCTCTCTCTCTCTCTCTCTCTCTCTCCCTCCCTCCCTCTCTCTCTCTTCTCTCCCCTCACCCCATCAATTAAAAATTTTAAAAATATATTAATGACATAAATGAATTATAACTACAGGCTTTAGGGTACCAAATGACAAAATATAACAAGTACTAACAAAAAAAGGTTTAAGAATGTGAAAATCGTATCTAAATTAATATAGCCATTTTCAATACTTTAAATACACACACACACACACACACACACACACACACACACAAACAAAAGCTGAAGAATGTTTTAAGATGAAGTACAAGTGAGATTGATACCTTTCAATCCTAACTCCCTATTGCTTCTCCTTCACTTCTGAAATACTCCTTTATGGCAAAGTTCCTGGAGCACATGACAGTAGTTATACAATATTCAAACAGAAAAGTAATACCTGAGAGAGTTGACGTGGCTGCACGAAGCATATAAAACCATAAGTAGGGACCCCAGGTAAGTTTTGTCTGTAACAAAAAGTTGGGTTAGCAATACTTAAACCTACTCATTCTCTTTATTAAGGCCAAAAGTAAACAATACTTGGTGAGCACAGAGTAATCTACAGATAGTACTACAAATAAACTATACTCCAATAAAAAATATAAAACCTTTATAGCTAGAACTCCATCTTATATTTACCCATATCACTACCACCACCTTAAGCCCATGGAATAATCAAAAGAAAGCAGCAGCCACTGAAATGGAGTTGGTAAGTCAGTCTTAATTATTTAAGAGTTGATATTTCAGAGCCTTCCTTTTTCTACCATGCTGCTTTCTGTCTTCATTGTTCACCAGCATTATCAGAGAAAGTGCAGTCAACGGAAAGGGGCCTTAAGAAATCATACAGCTGAAACCGGTTTGGCTCTATGGATAGAGCATCAGCTTACGGACTGAAGGGTCCCGGGTTCGAATTCGGTACAGGGCATGTACCTTTGTTGCAGGCACATCCTCAGTGGAGGGTGTGCAAGAGGCAGCTGATAGATGATTCTCTCTCATCGATGTTTCTAACTCTCTATCCCTATCTCTTCCTCTCTGTAAAAAATCAATAAAATATATATATATTTAAAAAAAAAAAAAAAAGAAAGAAATCATACAGAACACACTTGTGATATAGTGGGGAAATTAAGGTTCAGAGACATTAAGCAGAATAACAGCATAGCAAATAAACTTTATTAGTGGGAAAATAAACAACCACTAAGTGGCAAGATGAGGTTTTTTTTGTTTCTTTAAGGTCTAAAAAGGAATTAAGACCGTAGCTCAGTGTATCGGGTCTAGTAATAATTAGTGTCGTTTTTTAACATTCGTTTAAAATCTTGCTTGGCGTTGACTTGTATTGACATAACCTTCAAACACGTGGTATCTACAGAACGTGTGAAGTGCAATTAACAAGTTTTGCTTGAAAAAGTTTGTGTTTGGTTTGGTTTTTGTTGCAAAACTAGGGCTAAGAAGATGGCGGATGAAGAGCATATTCGGCACTGCATGCTTTACGAGTTCCAATTAGGAAGAAAAGCAAGTGAGGCTGCAAAAAACATCTGTAGTGCTCTTGGTCAAGATGCAGTTAGCACCAGAAAATGCCAGCGTTGGTTTGAGAAATTTCGCGAGGGAAATTTTTCGTTAGATGACAAGAGTGGTCGAGGCCATGTGTCCAATTTTGATCAAGAAGCTCTTCAAGCTCTTTTGGTGCAAAATCCTCAAATTACCCAACAAGAGCTTGCGACAACTTTAAATTGTTCACAGAAAACAATTTCCAATCAATTGCGTGCACTTGGCAAAGTCCAAAAGTTTGGAAAATGGGTTCCTCATGAGTTGACCGACAACAACCGTAATCAAAGAGTCACAATTTGCAGTTCGCTCCTCTCTCGTCAAAACCGTTTGCCGTTTTTAGAGAAAATTGTTACCAGAGGTGAAGAATGGGTGCTGTATGTTAATTTGAAAAGGCGGCCCCAATGGTTGGACAAAAATGAGGCTCCGCACCCCACGCCAAAACCTGACTTGCACGCGAAAAAAGTGATGTTGTGTGTTTGGTGGAATTTTAAAGGAATTCTTCATTATGAACTTTTACCATCTACCCAAACCATTACAAGTGCAGTGTATAGTGCCCAATTGGAAAGGTTAGCCCAAGCTTTAAGAGAAAAAGAACCCACGCTGATTAATCGGAAGGGCGTAATTCTTCACCATGATAACGCACGACCACATACTGCAAGAATCACTGCTGAAAAACTGCGCCAGTTGGAATGGGAAGTTCTCCCTCAACCTGCATATTCTCCTGATATTGCCCCTTCCGATTACCATTTGTTTCGTTCTTTGCAAAACTTTCTTCTTGGAAAAAAATTTAATAATGAAGAATGCCTCAAAAATGCATTGACCGAATTTTTGGCATCAAAATCACAAGAATTTTACAACAGAGGGATTAAAATGCTTCCTGAGCTTTGGGCACAAGTAGTAGAAAACAACGGCAACTATATTGTTGATTAAATTTTGTTGTATTGTTTAAATAAATTCGATTTAAAAAAAGTATTAGAAAACGACATTAATTATTACTAGACATAATATACAATATTTCGTAGGCCAGGGCCACTGGGAGAATGCAACCTCCATTGCACACCTTAATTTTGGTGCTGTAACTCCAAAGAGTGCTTTTGTGAACTGAAGCCTGCCACACAGATGACAGTTTGCATCTGTGGATGAAAATGATAATACAAGCATGCTTGCCCAGCCAGTGTGGAGCGCTGACCTATGAACCAGGAGGTCAAGGATTGATTCTCAGTCAGGGCACATGCCCAGGCTGTGGGCTTCATTCCCAGTGTGGGGCATGCAGGAGGTAGCCAATAATGATTCTTTCTTATCATTTATGTTTCTGTCTCTCCCTCTCCCTTCTTCTCTGAAATAAAGATAAAATAATAAAAAATACAAGCATGCTTCACTGTACCAATATTTTGTTCATCAAAAGAAAAGATATTGCCTGGGTCAGTGTGGCTCAGTTGGTTGAGAGTCGTCCTGTGCACCGAAAGGTCACTGATTTGATTCCTGGTCAGGGCACATGCCCAGGTTGCAAGCTCGATCCGCAGTGCAGATGGCAGCCAATCGATGTTTCTCTCTCACATCAATATATGTTGCTTTCTTTCTCTCTCTCTCCACTCTCCTCTCTAAAAGCAATAAAAGTATTTTTAAAAGCTGCCACAATTTAAAAAAGAGAAAAAAAACAAAAACTTGGTATAGAGTTTGCATTCAATCAAATACACTGTTTTGATATTTGCTCCAGGGAGCGGAGAAAAAGATAAACTTGTCCATAACCTTCTTAGCTAAGATACGTTATTGATTATAAGGGCATTAAAAAAAGCAAATGCAGACTATTTCTAAGACTAAAAACTGTAGACACTAGAAACAACTCTTTCCTTTTTGTTGGTGAAATAGTATCTTCCTTTCCTGATATCTAAAGCTGACGTTGTTGTAAATTTTAATATTATTTCCTTTTCTTCATGGTTAAGAGAGGGAGATTACATTTTTTTATTTTCAATTACAGTTGACATTCAATATTATTATTTAAGAATAATTTACTGATTTTGAGAGAGAGAGGAAGGGAGAGGGTTCTAGTGTAGGCTCTTGAGCCACCTGTCCTTTTGGTTCAGTAAGATCAGTGTCTAAACCAGGAGTGAAAAGTCTGGCCCTGCCAAGGCATTAGGAATTAATTAAATGTTTGACTAAATATAGCAGGCTAATTTTTAAGTTGATAATTGTATATGGCCCACAAATGATGTTATAAATATCCAATGGCCCTTAGAAGAAAAAAGGTCCCTCTCTACCTCCCTCCCGCCTCAGTCTGATCAAAGGACCCTATAAATTAATTCTGAATAACTGTGTGATGACAGATGTTACTCAAGAATCCTTATGCATTTCTTCAGTCTGGAGCAAGTTTGGCTCTTTAGTAGTCACAGCCTGATATTAGCAATTATTTTCTCTAGAAACAACCCCAACATATAGAAATCCACACCATTTTCCAAAAGTATGTTTAATCCTTTCCTATATTTAGTCCTTTTTTATACTTTCTTGGTCCTATCATTTACCATGTGTTATACAATTTGGTTCCATTCTCTATATTTCTGCACTGTTCACTTGCTGTAAAAATCATAAGGTAAATACCAACGTCAGCATATCTTAAACAATAGCTCCGAAAATAGCTTTCATCCCCACATTAGAGACACCTCCTACTCTAAATATAGAAGATATAACAGATTATTTTTCCTGACAGTTTTCAAAGTCATTTGAATGAGCACTGGATGTTAATTTAAAAAGTAAAGTTGGCCCTGACCGGTTGCTCAGTGGTTAAGAGCGTCAGCCAGTCAATCCTGGGTCAAGAATATGGTGCAGGCTCAATCCTGGCCCTGATTCTCTCTCTCACATCAATGTTTCTTTCTCACATCGATGTTTCTCTCTCTTTCCCTCCCCTCCTTCTCCAAATGTCAATTTCTGAGACAGTATTCCTGAAAGACAAGTAAGGTAGCTCTTAGTTTTTATTTACACAAGAATGAATGACTCAACAAACAAATTTAACTAAGAACATACTGTTGTCTTCCCCATTTACTATATATACTACAATATATATATATAGACATATACTATATTGAAATATATAGCATATGTCCCAAATGCTTACATTCCTAAAGTGGAATAACTAGGCCAAAAATATAATCATTTGGAAAGCTCTTCCTTCATAGTGCAAAACTTTACACCAGGAAATTTACCAATATACACAGAGCAATGCATGAGATGCCCATTCCCTAGTACCCTTACCACAGCATATTGTTCTTTTACTTTTAAAAAAAAACTGACAAGTGAAAAATGAGCCCAGAAAATTTTGAGTTCTTTATCAGAACAGAGATAGAAGACACTGACAACGCCCTGCCATACTAACAGACAGCAGCTGTGTGTCGCTGAAGGATGCCCAGGACCAAACCAAAGACGGTTGAACCTGCATCAACATCATTTGTCAACCAACCAGATCTGAAATACCATGGCTGACATGTATACATAAGGAACTGTTTGATAATGAAATTGGGACTCAAAAGAACTACTGGCCAAGAAAGGAAATCTAGGTCTCCATTTCTTTATTCTTTTTTTAAATAATTATTGTTGAAAGTATTACATATGTGCCCTCCTCCCTCCCCTCCTCACCTCCCAGCTCCCCAACCCCAAGGCTTTAGCACCCTATTGCCCAAGTCCATGGGTTATGCATTTATGCATATAAGGTCTTTGGTTGATTACCTCCCACGCACCTCCCCCCACCTTCCCCCTGAGATTCTGCACTCTGTTCCATGCTCCCATGTTTCTGGACCCATTCTGTTCATCAGCTTATTTTGTTACTTAGATTCCACATATAAGTGAGATCAAGTGATACTTGTCTTTCTGACTGACTTATTTCACTTGGCATAATATTCTCCAGGTCCCTCTATGCTATCTCAAAGGGTAA